TTTCCTCCCTCCCCATATCAAGCCGATCAATATAAGGTGCCCAGAACAAAATAGCAGCAGCTTCTGGCTACAACTAATGTAAGCTTGAAAATACTGTGGCTTTCCTTTGGTGGCTTTGGAAAAGGCAGAGAGGTGAAGGAAAGAGAGTCTTGAATTTGCTAGGAATTAAGGAAGGGGGTGCTGCACAACCCTAAAGGCCATTCAGAACATGAAGAGTTTAATATTACAGTCTTGGAAACCTTGGGGAGGTGAAGCCAGGGAAGCTACGAGCAAAATTTGAGGCTGAAGATGTTATTTCTCTAGTACAATATAGAGAACATACAATTAAAGGGTGTCAACACCATGGATGAGACCATGGAGCTGTGCTGAGCCAAACTCACTCAACTCTGGTTGTCTAAGTTTAGGCACTAAGTTAAGCCGCTCACCCTCATGAAAGTGTGAATTACAGGCTTCTGTCCCTGATAACATGAAGGTTCAGAATAAAACAAGTACATCTTTACAGGATTAAAGATGAGAATCAAAGTCTTACCCCAGCAGATGAGCGCCAGGACCAGAAGACTCAGTGAAGATCCATTCTCCATCAGCAGAACATTTCTTTGTAGAAATACTCTTTGCTTTTTAAAGTGAATATCACCTTATTTCAGGGTCAGGGGGTGGATTAATCTTTCCTTGAGAGTTTTCTCCTCTTGTCTTCTCTCAGGCTCCTTAAACATACCACAAGCATCATGATTTCTGACCAGGGCCTAAAGGGGCTCCAGGAAACCTGGAGAGGGGCTTTGGACAAGAGCCTGTAGGGACAGAACAAGGGAAATGGCTTTAACTTGCCTGAGGGGAGATTGAGATGAGCTCTGAGGCAGAAGCTCTTCCCTGGGAGGGTGCTGAGGCGCTGGCACAGGGTGCCCAGAGAAGCTGTGGCTGCCCCATCCCTGGCAGTGTTCAAGGCCAGGTTGGACACAGGGGCTTGGAGCAACCTGCTCTAGTGGAAAGTGTCCCTGGAAGGGAGTTGGGACTGGATGAGCCTTAAGGCCCCTTTCCAACCCAAACCAGTCTGTGATTCTATGAAGTGTTCAGCAGTACAAAGCAAAGGCAGCGGAATATTTAATCTCCTTTAACCAACACAGAGGAGCAAACCTTTACCTGGCATAAATCAGAGCAGCCTCCCCACTTGCTGCAGTGATTTCTACCAGAGCAGAGCTCACCTGGACCTTTCAGGGAATGGTCTCACATATCTGTGGATGGGGTCACCTCTTACAGCTGCAAGGTCTCTTCCACATTGGACGACACCGGGTATCTGCACAGTAAATTGAGGGGATTAACCCTTGAAGCCATCCTCCTAGCTTTCAAACAAGGATGTCTTTCTTTAACCTTCAAGATCTTCCAGCCTATTTTCATCAGATGAAGTTCTTCACTTGCAGCAACATGTTGTTTTTATATTTCTCTCTGCAGGTCTTTGCAGGCAACTGACAAAACATTCGGGGAACAAGTGTTTGTCATGGCTTTGGCTACAGTTCAGGTCTCGAAGATGAGTGAATCTGGATTGTGTATTGCTGGCTCCTGGATGAGAACCCATGAGTCACAACAGCCTAAACTACTAATAAAGGCTTAGCTATGCACACAGGATGATGCAAAATCTCTGCTAATTATTGTCACAAAGATCTATAACCTGTTACAACACTCAGCAGCCTCCAGGGACAGGAAAAGTAGAGATCCAAACAAGCACAAGTTTTTCCTCACAAGCCCTTGTGAAGAATCAAGGGGGAGGTAAGAAGGTGCAGCCAAAGGGCAGTTTATTCCAAGTGTCTTAAACACCTGCTGCAAGCAATTTAGGTAATTACCTCTGGATGGATGCCTGGAGCAGATGGCTGGGATTATAGGAGATGAGGCTGATCCAAGTCTCCAAGCAGTAAATGAGCCTGAAAGGCTACTGATGGTTAAGAAAAGAGAGGTCTATCCAGGACCAACCTGTCAGAACAACCTTTTTACTATGCTCCAGGTACTTCCAGGAGTATCTCAGCCGCCCATTTCTGACTTCTTTTTGCAGTAGAGCCAGGTCATTCCACTGCTCTACCTCTATTGCAAGACAAACCCCATCTCATCACAGCCTGTTTTGGAAAGGGATGGTGCTAATCCAGTTCTTTCTACAAACATTTTTGGGGGGTGTAGCAGGAAATTGATAGTATATTCAAGATAACTTCAGTGTCATTTGTTTCTGCTCAACCCGCTCAATAGACACCAGGTTCTTCCAATGTCTGGAATATTTGGGGAGTTTACAATTCGCACTCTTTCAGTTAGATGATTTTTTCCTTTAAGTAAGAGAAGCTTTGAATTAATAGTGCTTTGAGATTAAACTGACAGCATGGAGAGAGTCACCATGTAAATATCAATTCACATTTGGATTAGATTCGATCGATAGGTGGGATTTATTCATCCAACATTTGTCAACAGCATTAAGCTTAGTATATGAGCCAACTGCTAAGACTCTCTTTGCACTCAGGTAGAAATGAAGGTGGTGGTTCAGCTGTCCAGGACTGAGAGCCTGTCCAGGACCATCATTCCCTCCTGCTTCCCTGAAGGGCACAAGCCTCCCAAATCTTGTGCTGTACATGCCAGACCTGTGTCCATACATCCTATAACTCAGGTGGGATTGGATGAATCAATAGACTCTGTGTAGCCCATAGGAAGATTTGCCATGTCCAAAGACCCACACATAGTCACATGAACAGACAAGTTCTCCATCAGAACCAGAGAACACCAGGTTGGAAGGGACCTCAAGGATCACCTGATCCAACCTTTCTAGGCAAAGCATGACCTAGATTAGATGTTCCAGCACCCTCTCCAGCCAAATCTTACGTGTCCAACATTGGGGAATCCACCACTTCCTTGGGGAAACTGTCACTGAGCTACAAGATTTGCATCACTGAGAGTCTAGAGGACTGGCTGAGAGATGGACACATGGGACAGGTTTGGGCTCACCTTGCTCGAGGTCAGCGTGACATACAGACCTACACATGAGCTATAGGTGTCCCAGCTTATCTTCCAGTGTGTGAACTCCAATGGTGTCATTCAGTTGGCCAAAGGAACATCTCAGAAACACTGCAGGACTCACAGGAACCCATGAGCTTCTGGAGGAACAGCTGGAACCCAGCAGGAAACCTTCAATGGCACCAGCACAACCAGCAACAGAGAAGTATCTGCACCAGCAAACCCAAATATGGATGGAGAAGAACAATGCAGACAGCTGTGGTGACCCCAGACAAGTGTTTTGGCTGGGTTTAGCTTCTGCAAATGGCAATATTTTAACACCACGGTTTGGATTTGGGCAGGTTCTGTGCCAACACTTTCACCCCTGATTCCTATTTGCTCCCACTTTATTACCAATCCCCCAGGTACAGCTCAAAACACTCTCCCCTTCCTTGAAAAGGTGAATAAAAACATATATTCCAGTTATTGCCAAAATAAATTTCTTTTGCTTCTTATAACAGCATGACAAGAAGGAAAAACAACTTGTAGAAAGCAGGTACACAAATAGTTCTTCGAAGAGCTTACTGCTACATTCCTCATCTTGTATCAGCTCTGTTGTGTCTAAGGATGTTTTGAGCCTATTAATTTTCCTCTTATAATGGAGGTGGAAATGGAAAGGAGGAGTTGTGAATAAAAACTACGTTAAAGTTACATATAAACTGAAATCTGACATAGGGAAGTGCCATGACCCATAGGCTGGGTGGGCCTTGGCCACCCTAAATTCAGGTGGCTTGAAGTTAAATGTGTGAGAATCATAATACATTTTCTACATGCAGCTGCTATCTTTACGTATCTTTATGCACCATCATTCACCAGAGCCATTTCCCATGATGATTTTACCAAGGTCCTTTGTTCCTTCTAGGGAGGAAGACTGAGATCAGATGTAGTGTCTACCTATTAAACTCCACATTTGGCCAGTTAAATCCCACAATGAATGGTCTTCCAGATACAGATAACTGCATACTTTGAGGAAAAAGAGGGAGCAAAAGTAGAAATATGAGTTTTCTTGCAACGAATGCACCATGGTTTCATGGTTTTACTATACATTAAGTTTGAATATACGTACTGAACAATTCCACTCAACGGTACATTTAGGAACCATCGATGTCCAGTACTTGATGTTGTATATTAACAAAATCTTTTGAAGTATTTATTCCCTATAAAAAGAACTTTGAAGGAATAAAGTGCAGTAGGAAAATCTTAAACATTTCTTTGAAACATTCCTTAAACAACCTTTGAACATTCTTTGGTGTGTCATTGATTGGTCTGTGATTGTGGAAGAAGATTCCAAGAAACTCCTCTCAAATTTCCCTATTTCCTGCAGCTTTAGGGAACTTTTCCTCCTCTCTCACCCAAGCCTCCTTGGTCTGCTCCGTGTGTTCTCCTGCATGCTCCCATCTGTCATGGAGATTACCTGGAAGAACTGAAATTCACCTTAAATCCATAGATCCCGTCTCATGGCTGGAAGAGATACAACACTTTTGGTAGGAATATAGTCTGCCACACTAATGAATGATTTCCAAGCTGTAAGAGACCATGAGTGGGCTCTGGCCAAAGGCAGCTGAGAAGAAAATGGTCCAAACCCTCAGCAGAAATCTCATAAATGGGTTATTTTAACAGGACTGAGCTTTGTCATCATATCTCCTATCAAGAAAGAGGCAATTTGGGATTGCCTAAGGGATGGCAGGCCCATGAGAAAACCCAGCACATTCTTGCCTCCAAATATTCAGAAACAAGCTGGACATTTTAGCATGTTTCATCACAAATCAACATTCGGTTGTTCTTCAATGAGTATTTATTTCTTTTGTCATGAAATACACTATCAAGAGGCAAACATATAACAAATTAATCCCACATTGATAGAGCTGGTCTACAAACTGGACAATAATATATAGAAGTATTATCACAGCTTCTTTCCAACCTCAGAAAGACCCCAAAACACTATTCCTGTTCCCATCACTGCCTAAACGTCAAACCATTTACGACTTTAGCAGGGAAATAATCGTTCTCTCCACTGCTCTCTTCAGAGCACTCTTCACCTCCTCGTTCCTCAGGCTGTAGATAAAAGGGTTCAACATTGGGGTCACCACAGTGTAAAAGATAGAAACTATTTTGTCCCTGCCCACGTTGTAGCTGGAGCTGGGCCGTAGGTACATGAAGATAAGGGTCCCATAGAAGATGGTGACTACCACTAAGTGGGATGCACATGTACCAAAAGCTTTGCGCTTGCTCGGCATAGAGCCCGTCCTCAGGATGGTGAAGAGGATGTAGCCGTAGGAGATGAGGATGACTGATATGGTGGTGATCTCGTTGAAGCCCCCAAAAGCAAGTAACAACATTTGATTGAGGGAAGTATCAGAGCAAGCCAGTTTTGAGAGTGGTGGCCCATCACAGAAGAAGTGGTCAATGACATTGGGACCGCAGAAGGACACCCTCAATGCAAAGCCTACAAAGACCACTGAATTAAAAAGCCCAACTGCATAGGTCCCAGCTAAGAGGGAAACACAGACCTTCTTGGACATGAGGATGGGGTAGCGCAGGGGGTTGCAGATGGCAACGTAGCGGTCGTACGCCATCACAGCTAGGAGGTAACACTCTGTGACCACGAAAGCAGCATAGAAATAGAGCTGCAGGAAGCAGCCAGCGAAAGAAATAGTCTTCCTTTCAGATAAGAAGTTCAGCAGCATTTTGGGTGTCACCACAGAGGAGTAGCACAGATCCAAGAAGGACAAGTGGCTGAGGAAGAAGTACATGGGGGTTTGAAGCTGGGAATTGAGCCAGACTGCAGCAATGATGCCTAGGTTTCCCACCACGGTGGTGACATAGATGAGCAGGAAAAGCACAAAGAGAGTAAGCTGGAGGTCGAGGCAATCCGTGAACCCCTTGAAAACAAACTCTGTCACTGTAGTCCAGTTTTCCCAAGCCATCGGTGTGCGAGAGACTCCTGGTTCCCAGTCAGGGCAGTGATTTCTATGAGATCAGTTAGGATGGCTTGATCCCTCACTTAGTTATTAGTGGGGTTTAATCCTGTGCTCTGAAGGTAATGAAGACATTCTCTAATGAAACACTGCCAGGCACTCACTGACTACATCTACCACTCGAGCTCTTAAACCAAGCTTTGAACATATCTTCTACCTTTACTTACTGATTTCAAAAGAAGACTGAAGCTACAAAGCAAGTTTTCCCTTGGACATCTCCATGGTCTTCACTATGTTTCTATCTGCTTGCAGTTTTCTCCACATTAAGAGAAGAGCAGCTCATATTGACTGCTCTGATAACACACAGGCTAGCAGAACATTAGTTTTCAAGCTGCTTTTCAGGCTGATGATGTCCTAGAAACTTCATTATCCCAGGTAGCTCAGGGTCTGAATTTGTTGCTTCTTCATCTAAGTACTCAGAAACAAAAGCAACAAGTTGGGTTTTCATTAAAAACAACTGATTGGTAACAAGGTTAGTGGCTACTTTGGGGGCTAAACTGCATTTCAATAACTGCTGTCATCCCATAAGAATAAATACATACAATGAACAGAAGGGCATATGTATTTATCTTTCCTTCTCCAATATCTTCCAGCTTATCTGGTGACTTGTCAAAATTGTGCTTTTCTCTTTAATTTCTATCATTCAACTTAGACTTTAAGCACACAGCATGTACCTTCAAACAACCAATTTCATGCCAGATTAAGGTTAGGAAGGAGAACTTCCTTTTAGAAAGGATTTATAACATAACCACATGTCTCAGACACAGACATTTAAGAGGAGTTTAAACCTAGTTCCACCACCATCCCCCAAATAGTACCTGAGATGCCACTTCTGGTTTCCTGTTAAAGAACCAGCCTCTTTCAGGCTGAACTACTTTTGTGCCTGCATCTTACTGCTTTCTCCAAGGAGATCTTTCAAAGACAGACAGAACCTGCACCTATTTATTGCTGCAGAAAACTAGAAAGGCAACAATACAGACAAATAGACCGTATCCTATTAAATTCACTTGAAATAGTGTGTTCTCATCTCATAAATAAGATAAAACACGTCCCCAGAAAGGATTGTGCCAGGGGAGAGGGTAAGTACATAAGACACATTAAAGATTTCTTCCGTACATGTTTATATTTATCCCAGTATATTTGTTACCAGTAGGCAATGAGATGTTTGCAAAGAGAAATGGCAATTCAAGCTCCTGTGACAATCACTGCTACATTCCTTTGGCATTGCCTCTAAGAAGATCTTCCTTGCCCGTTTGCGTGACTATTACACTGAAGCATCTCTATCTTAAGAGAAAAAACTTATTTTTCCACCTTCTAGCTTGCTTTATAAATCAGAGTTTCAGAGAAGAAATTTCATGATTCTATGATGCTGTGGTTCACCATTCCAGTCTCCTTTCCTTCTCTCTTTAGTTCTTCATGGTGTTAGGTGTCCATGTATGGCTGTATCTCCCAGAGGCTCCTGTCTTCACTATTTATTGCTTTCCAGCTTAGACAGTCGAGATAAGCTGCCAACAACCCCATTGGGCACATCACCCCATGCCAATCTTGTTTTCTTCCCCTTTCAGATATAATTGGAGAGTTCCCTTAGTGACTTCACAAGTTAGACACCTGGAGCTATTACTTCCTCAGCCCTTGAGAGAGGATGTCTTCTGGGAGCCAGAACACACCAAGATCAGAAATGGCTGGGAGGTTATTGAGAAAGAGGTTGCATCTCAGTATCAGTAACTACAGAAACACTCAAGCTGGACAGCTTGATGAGTCCTTACTAAGACTTGAAACCCATTTCCAAACCAAAGTTACCCATCTACTCAAAACCATAATTCTAATATTGTATATGGAAATAAAGGAGATACTAAGGACCAGAGATTAACACTGCAATATAATGTGCAATTTATTACTCTATTGCCCTCACTGAGAAAAGCGACTCCTGTTTTGCCCATGCAGGAACATGGTTGGTATAGATAGGGACTGCCAGAGCAGTGAGTGCTGGCTGGACTGTTATTTGCAGAGGGCAATGGGTTCTATTTGCAGGAGCCTGGAGAGTGCCACAGGAGTTTGACTCTTTCAACAGAGCCAAAGAGGACACTATTTTATACAGGGAATCTTCCCACAGTACCTGAGTAAGAGAAGCAGGGCAGGAACAGAGACCTGGGCCAAGTTCTGTCAAGACTCCAGAGTATTGCAGAAGTTGGTGATGATGAGGCAGATCCAAGACCAAGACAAGACAGGTCAAGTCTAGTCAATTCACTTCAATCTCTGGTTAAAGATGGGTCCAGAAATTGCCAGGCAGGTCAATGATCAAGCCCAGGACACCATCAAAGGATTCCAAAGGTGTGCACAAATCCTG